TCTAATCAAAATAAAAGCGCAGCACTGAGTCTAGGAGAACTCACCAGTATCACACACACTCCTGACGGGTCACGTTCAACTCGAGCAGTGGTCTAAAACACAAGTTTACTTCAAGAATGAACCGGCTGCATTTAAATCCGCGTCTGAAGTTTCCTGCTCTGTTCAGCATGCAGTGTCACGTGTCTAAACAAATAGCACGTGCTGTCAGGGATTTCAATCACTAGAGGCCGCTCTCGCACTGTATAATGACAGCAGAACCTTCTCAGCCGCTCCAGCGACGGACGCAACCCGAAAAACTATCGGCAAAACCGATACATCGGTCGACCTCTAATTTATGCATTTGTAACTGCAGGGTAAATATTCCATGTCCCTCAGAGCTGCATTAAACAGTGTGTAAATGCATCTAAATGACACTTCTAAAGCAGCTTCTGTATTTCCTCTGCATTGCGAAGATCAATTTTGTTGATACTGATTACATTTGCTTGGTAAAAGCCCAAATGCAAGAATTTGACTCAAAAGATGGTGCACACTTTTAGAAAAAAATGACTTAAAGGTAAAAATGCTCATATAACTTGTTGGAAATTATTAATTTCTATCACTGCTGTGAATTGACCACACAGAATATGTAGAACATCATTTTCTTAAAGATGGTTTAAAGGCTGAAATGTAAAGTTTATCATTTTAAAGTTTTTATGAAAACTTGTATCTGCTGAACTGTAAATTATGCTTTTTACAGTAATTTTACAGTTTAATATGGTACTATAGACATTGCCCTACTCCGCTCATATGGCATTAATTTTATTTGTGCAGGTCTTAAAAAGGTCTTAAATTTGAGCTTAAAAATCCTGCAGAAACCCTGATGATGAACCCCAAATCTTCATTAATAATGCTGACAGTTATAAAGCTTCAAGCAGATTTAGATTTACTTTACTGAAAATAAACCGTTATTTTATTTCAGAGATGATTGAAAAAAACAAGGAGAGTGAGGAACTGAGTGAAGTTGAGGAGAAAAATCATGTCAAAACTGGAGAAAAACCCTTGAGTCACCCTGAAAACAAAGAGAAAGATTGTTGAGGAGAAAAATCATGTCAAAACTGGAGAAAAACCTTTGAGTCGCTCTCAAAACAAAGAGAAAGATTTAAAGAAAAGAAGAGCCAATAAATATTTCACCTGCACTCAGTGTGGAAAGAGTTTCTCATTCAAACATCATCTTGTGCTTCACATGAGAGTTCACACTGGAGTGAAACCATACACATGTGATCAGTGCGGGAAGAGTTTTGCACAATCATCAAGCCTTAAGATACACATGAACATCCACACTAGAGAGAAACCACACAAGTGTTCACACTGTGACAAGAGATTCAGTCGGTCAGGAACCCTGAAAACACATGAGAGGATCCACACTGGAGAGAAACCATACACATGTGATCAGTGCGGGAAGAGTTTCACGATAAAAAAACACCTTACAGAGCATATAAGAGTTCATACTGGAGAGAAGCCGTTCACTTGTGATCAGTGTGGGAAGAGTTTCACACGATCATCAAACCTTATGTATCACATGAACATTCACACTAGAGAGAAGCTTTACGCGTGTGATCAATGCAGCAAAACATTTTTGAGGGCTTCAGTCCTGAAGAATCACCTGAAAGTGCATTCAAAGGAGAAGCCACATTCATGTCATTTGTGTGGAAAGAGCTTTTCATGTCTACAAAATGTAAAAGTACATCAGAAAATACATACTGGTGTGAGAGAGTACATGTGCTTTGAGTGTGAAAAGACTTTTATTTCAGCAAAGTGTTTAAAACGGCACAAGAGGATCCACACTGGAGAAAAACCTTACAAGTGTTCACACTGTGACCAGAGATTCAGTGATTCAGCAAGTCGGAAAAGACATGAGAGGATCCACACTAGAGAGAAACCACACAAGTGTTCACACTGTGACAAGAGATTCAGTCAGAAAATGCATGCTGGTGTGAGAGAGTACATGTGCTTTGAGTGTGATAAGACTTTTATTTCAGCAAAGTGTTTAAAACGGCACAAGAGGATCCACACTGGAGAGAAACCGTATCGCTGCACTGCATGTGGGAAGTGTTTCAATCATTCAGCTTCTCTACACAGTCATACAAAAAACATTCACAGTAAGTAGATCATCTTCAGATCCAGCACTTTCATGTCTGATGCTGCAATAATGCATCAAGCAGTAAAATATCATCTGGATAAACCTGTCCTAACCAGACATTACAAGCAACTATCTAAAGTTTTCACAG